GCTTCAGAGCAGGGTGTTTGGGACCACAGCACAAAGGAGGGCTGCTACCAGCTGCCCCTGCCAAGGACAGACATCCTTTTCTTATCCACCTGGGAAGAGGTGATGGCGTGCCAGGAACAGGTGCTGCAGGTGAGGGCTCCCCTCCCCTCCTCTGGCCATGGGGGGCTTTTCTCCTGGCTTCCAAGACCCCCCCTGGACGTTTCCCCACTCGGCCACTTCATCGGGGCTGGTGGCCCACGGGGCCCTTTCCTGAAACGCCCAGGCGGGGAGACACCCCCCCCCTCCCCAACCTCTGGGAAAGGCTGAAGGGCCTTCATGCTTTTCAAAGGCTCTGTGGGGCCCCGGGGCCCTTCCTTCCACCAGCTCCATGCAGGGGACTCCGGCTGCGGCTCCTCCTCAGCTGCATCTCTGGGGCAGCGTCCAGGGCTCCCCGGATAACCCGCCCACCGTCCTTCCCTCCACAGCCTGGGCAGGTTGTTGGCATTGACATGGAGTGGCGGCCCTCGTTCAGCGCCATCGGAGGGAAGCCGCGGGTGTCGCTTGTTCAGCTGGCCGTTTGGGGCCACGTCTTCCTCCTGGACATGCTGCAGCTGCTCCGGCAGGGGGAAGAGGAGGCGCAGGCCGCCCTCTGCGGCTTCTTCCGGGCCCTCCTGGCCGACCCAGCCATCGTGAAAGTGGGCAAGTGTTGCCGGGGGCATGGCCTTAGGGGAGGCTTGATGAAGGCCCCCTTTTCTCTAGTCAACCCCAAATCCTGCAGCCGTTCTCCGTGTTCGTCTCTCCAGGCCTTTAATCAGCAGCTGCTCTTTGCTCTTTTCCCAAAAGTCTCTTTTGTCATGTGGGGACCAAAACTGGGCGCAGGATTCCAGGCATGGCCTTAGGGGAGGCTTGATGAAGGCGTTTCATGTGGGTTCCCAGGCTTCCCTTTGGGCTCCGGATCAGCCGGAGGGGGACGGAAACCCGAGCGGAGCTCTCTGTCTTCCCTGCAGGCTACGGGATGTCGGGAGACCTGCGGAACCTCATGGCAACCTGTGGCATTTCCAGAGATGGGGACTTCCAGCTCTCTGGAATCCTGGACCTCCAGCTGGTGCACCAAAAGGTCAGGAGAGACAGTGGGATTTCGGGCCCATGGAGTTGAACAACACCCCCCCCCCCACACACACACACACCACACAAACACCACACACATACACACACCCCAAGGTTGGGCAGATTGGGCCCTCCCTGTGCCCACCTTGGGGTGCTTCAGGTCAATCCCTGGCTTCTTCTTTTCACAAAGGCTGCACGGCCCCTTCCGCCGGATCTTCTTGGGGAATAACACAAACACACAGGCTCCATTTTCCAGCCTCTCCAAACCAGGAAATGTCCTTCTCCAAGACTTGGCCCAAATCCAGGGTTAAGGACACTGCCTCACCTCATCTTCCTTCTTTCCCTCCCTCCTTCCTTTCCTTTCTTCCTTCTTTCCTTCCTTCCCTCCCTCTTTCCTTTCTTCCCTCCCTCCTTCTTTCCTTCCCCCCCTCCTTCCTTCCTTCTCTCCTTCTTTCCTTTCTTCCTTTTTTCCTTCCTTCCTTCCCTCCCTCCCTCCCTTTCCTTTCTTCCTTCTTTCCCTCCCTCCCTCCTTCTTTCCTTTCTTCCTTTCCTCCCTCCTTTCCTTCCTTCCCTCCCTCCTTCCTTTCCTTTCTTCCTTCTTTCCTTCCTTCCTTCCCTCCTTCCTTCCCTCCCTCCTTTCCCTCCCTCCCTCCTTCTTTCCTTTCTTCCTTTCCTCCCTCCTTTCCTTCCTTCCCTCCCTCCTTCCTTTCCTTTCTTCCTTCTTTCCTTCCTTCCCTCCCTCTTTCCTTTCTTCCCTCCCTCCTTCTTTCCTTCCCCCCCTCCTTCCTTCCTTCTCTCCTTCTTTCCTTTCTTCCTTTTTTCCTTCCTTCCTTCCCTCCCTCCCTCCCTTTCCTTTCTTCCTTCTTTCCCTCCCTCCCTCCTTCTTTCCTTTCTTCCTTCTTTCCTTCCTTCCTTCCCTCCTTCCTTCCCTCCCTCCTTTCCCTCCCTCCCTCCTTCTTTCCTTTCTTCCTTTCCTCCCTCCTTTCCTACCTTCCCTCCCTCCTTCCTTTCCTTTCTTCCTTCTTTCCTTCCTTCCCTCCTTCTTTCCTTTCTTCCCTCCTTCCTTCTTTCCTTCCCTCCCTCCCTCCCTTCTTCCTTCCTTCCTTCTCCAGTTGCCCAAACCCTCCAAGAAGAGCTGCCAGCCCGCACTGGAGCCCTCGCCGACGAAGAAGAAGGCCTGTGGGGGGAGCAGGGTCCCCGAGAAGGGGCTCAGCCTGCTGGTGCAGGAGGTCCTGGGCAGACCCCTCAACAAGACCGAGCAGATGTCCAACTGGGAGAAGAGGCCCCTTCGGGAGACGCAAATCCTTTACGCAGGTCTGCCCCCCCCGTGCCCCCCTTTCCAGCTGAGCGGCCGGAGCAAGAGGGCGCTTTAGTGGGGTGCAGTGGCAGGAGGGGGACCCCTCAAAAGCTGAGCTGCAGGAGCAGTCCAGCCTTTTCCCTCCAGGGAGCTTCCTGCGTGGCTACAGGCAGGCACTGTTCCCGCCTCAGCTTCTCCGCCCCAGAGGTTGATGCTGCCCTACCTCGCAGGGCCGTCGTAGGTTCATAGAGGAAGAGGGAAGGCTAAGCCCTGAGACTTCGTAGCATCCCTGACCCTGGTGCTTTCCTGCAGCCTGTGACGCCTACTGCTTGCTGGAGGTTCATGCGAAGCTGTTGAAGGACCCAGCGGCCTTCGGCCTCAGCTCCGATTGGGTGGGGATCACGAGGAAAGCCAGCCACCCCGAGGCCAAAGCGAGGAAGCCGCCGAAGAGGAAGCCGGAAGGGCCCCCCGTGGACAAGGAGGTGTGTGGGACCGGAGCCAGAGAAAGGTGGCCACTGCTGAGCAGCCCCACACACCCACACACACCCCTCGAGCTCCAGGCGGCTGAATCTCTGGGCCGACGCTGGGCTCGTTCCTCGGCCAGCCATGCTTCGGGGTCTCTTCCTCCTCTGGGGGTCTCAGGTGGCAACGGGGTTCAAGGCCAGCCCCCCCCCCCTTTGGCGAAATGGAGCCAGACTCTGGACGGACCCATTTCCCCCTGCAGAGCCCAGCACCCGTCCCGGCAGAGGCGCCCAGTGCTTCGGTTGGCATCCTGGCGCAAGACTTCCGCGTGGTCTGCGACAACATGCTGCAGGGCCTGGGACGGTCCCTGCGCTGCCTCGGGGTGGACGTCCAGATCCTGGGGAACGAGGACGAGCACCGGAGGGCTGCCGAGGTTGGTGGCCGTTGGGCCGAGTCTTCTTGGGTGGGAGGGGGCTCCTGTCGAGGCCGGTGGCGTGGGCCCCACAGAGCAGTCTGGGCTCCGGTTCAACCTGCAGTGAAAGTCCTAGACCATCCTAAGGAGGGCAGCTTGCAGCCCTTCCGAAGACCAGAGAGGCTCCTGCTTGGCCCCCTCATTCATTCCATGCCCCCCTCCCACGGCTTCCCCGGAAGGGTGTCTGTTTCCATAGAGACCGGGCCACTGGCTTGCCCGGTGCTACCCCCACGGTTGGTGGCTTTGAGCCCCGCTTGGCCAATCAAAGATGCCGACGAGCCCTTCAGATCTTCCCCCTCTCCTGCCTCCCAGCTCTTTTCCTGGGCTCCACGGGGGCTGATGAGCCCTGGCAGGTGGACCAGGAAGCTCCCTGCAAGCAGCCACCAGCCCATCCTCCGGCTCGTGTCCCCGGCTCCCGTGGCTTTGGTTGACCCAGGTGGAGAGCACGGTAGCGGAGGTTGGGGTGGGGGCATTGTCGTGTTTGTGTCCCCACTTAAACGGAGGGCAGAAAGCAGGAGGTTCCCCACAGCCGCCCCAGAAGTGAAGGTTTGCCCGAAGTAATTGGATTCCTTTCCTAGATTGCCAGGCAAGAGAATCGAGTGATTTTGACCTCCGGCCTTCCTTTTCAGTCGGTGAGTGCGCAGAGGGGTGAGAGGAGAGGGGGGGGATTTCCTGAGCCCCTCCGTCCCCCCCGTGGCTCCCCTTGGCCAACGTAGACTTCTCTCCCGTGGCAGCTGGGGGTTGTCCCTTCCTTCCCCTTTCGTGGCCAGGCTGGAATCTTCAGCTGGCTGCCCTGCAGTTCCTTTCTTCAGTCGCAGGGTGGTCTCCGCCCCCCCCTCCTTTTCCCAACCGGACCCCCTCTGGCTTTTCCCCAGCTGCGTTCCCAAGTGGGCGAAGGCCGGTGTTTCTCAGTGAGCTGCTCAGAGAAGGCCCGGGACCAGGCCTTGCAGGTCCTGAGGCACTTCAACGTCCGAGTGTCCTTGGCCGACATTTTCAGCCGCTGCCAGGTAAGCCGGGCGGAGCCCCCCCCCCCCAGGCCCTTCCCCAGGTCTTCTGTCTCCCCTCCGTGTCCTTGTGGGGCCTGAGCCCCTCTCCTCTGGGAGCCAGTGGCCGTCTGGAGAAGGCCAGGTGGTCTTCCGGGAAGCTCCTTTGGGCTCTGCTGGGAGGAGGGCACTTCAGCCCCACAGCAAAGGAAGGGCTGAGGGGGAAACTGCGGGGGGGGACCCCGTTTTTCTTCCCTCTTTCTGGCAAGGAGGGGGTTCCAGGAGCCCCTTCCTCAGAGCCCTGTGGGGAAAACCTGTTTCCTTCTCGTGGCCTGCAGGGGAGGGTCGAAAAGCAGGACGGGGGATGGGGAGGTGGGGGTATCTTTGGTGTCTCGGTGGGGCTGCAAAGGGGCCTCAGGCTGTGCCCCTTAGCTGCGCCCCCCCCCCCTCTTGTGGAATCCTGTAGAGCAGTGTTTCTCAACCTTGGCCACTTGAAGATGTCCGGACTTCAACTCCCAGAATTCCCCAGCCAGCGAATGCTGGCTGGGGAATTCTGGGAGTTGAAGTCCGGACATCTTCAAGTGGCCAAGGTTGAGAAACACTGCTCTACAGGATTCCACAAGAGGGGGGGGGGGCGCAGCAAAGGGGCAAAACAAGAGGCCCCTTTGCAGACAATACGAGACAACA